ACACTTCATTTATGATTACGCAGAGCAGCATTGGTTCCACAAGAGCCACACTGGTCTCTTCTCCACTATGAGAACTGACCGTTTATTCCTACACTCTATTCCCTAATAAGAAATACTTCTAAAGTCTAAAAACTCACCTAAAGATTCTTCCATTGTATCTGTCTTCCACTTCAGTAGACTCCTTCAGACCATTCTAATGTATCTGCAGTGTCCCAGTACAAAATTGTGTTGATTCTTTCCCCATTAATGCCTTTTCTCATATGTATCAATCCCATTCCTTATTATAGCTCATATCAAATTGGCAGAGAAGTACTCTGATGCGTTTTAAAAGGCTAGGGTTGTATTCACCAATTTCCATTCCCCTGCCATCAAAGGCTGATTTAACTGACAGATTAGACACCATTTTTAGTAGTTTTATTAATACAGTTCAGCAATCTCGTATCTCAGTTCCTGTAGCACTCTGGGGTGAACACCATCTGCTGCTAGAAGCACTTACTGTTCTACTTCACAATCTGCTAATCTGTAGCTGTAAATCACTGACTTTCTGCAATTGCACATGCAGCGCCCAAACAAGAAAGGCATTCAGCAGCAAGCCAAACTTCTGTGCCTTTGAACTTACAATATCCAGACACTGTCCTTTCACAGCGATCCAACTGATATAATTGGGTGTCATCATTGCTTGACAACACACAGGATGTTTCCGTTCTTTGACATCATACCCCCAAAACCAGGGAGAGAATCACCCATGTCACAGGACATGACCCTTCTGAGTTCAAACTACATACAGCTATGGATTAACAGCTACAAGCAAGTTCAGCAGGAGCTGAAGCCTGCACACTAAAGCAGCGGCATACCATCAGAATGGTTTCGAAGACAGGCAGTATTACTTAGAGAGCAAAATGATGTCATTTGCCAAGACTGCCACAGTTGCGTGTTCTTTTAGCTGTTACCAATACAAGTGCTCATTACACAGCAGATAAATGGAAGGTTTTGAAACAAAACACTGTGGTCTCACACTACGAGCGAAAGAAGCCTGGCTAGTGGGATTTGTATAATAAAGGTGGAAGCTTCTTCCATTACATGCAGCATTTCCCATCTGATGGCTCAAACACTCTATATGGGACAAGACCTAAGAAGTCTGCAAGCATAGGTATAACAACCAATGGAGTCATATTTTTGTTTAGAGTTAGCACTGATAACTGTTTTTCAACATGTTGTTTGGAGCTTGAAAATCTTCAAATTCAGACAAACTATTTCAAAAATTAACCCTCTTTTCATTAAAGCTGAAGAAAATATGAGTAGCCTTTAAACCACGGTCACTTAAGATACAGTCGGCAATAGCAAAATTGGAAGTTGGGGGGGGAACAACTCAGAAAAATGGACAACTGAAACTGACCTGCAAAGTTTGAAGTAAGCTCTCATTTCCAGATCTCTCTTCCAATTAGCGCTCTGCACACAGCAAGCACGTTACTTCCCCAAACGCCCCCCTTCCTTCCCTTTTGGAAAGCAAAGAGGAAAAGAAACCAGCTGACCTTCTGAACAGTAGTAGTGAGGTCCAAGCAGAGCTGAATGATTCTGTTCTTCATTGATGAAAAGTCAGCAATACCTGTGAACGGGGTCCTGCAACAAGAGAAAATTCCCCTTAGATTGAAGGGACCAGTCTTCTCCTATCCTACCTTATCAGTGAGGAATAGTATGCAAGAGCTCTGACATCCGCATAAGCGTGAAACACAGTTTTACAATACAAATATTCCTGATTGCATAGTTCTGCTCTATCCTTGCGCCAAAATTGGTGAATGTCTAGCCCAGTGGTAAGCAAGTTGAGAGAGCAAAACCAGAAGAAACTATCAATTTTCCAAACGACGCTTCTCTCAGCTGCATGCTTGAGTCAGATAACACCAACTGTGTTGTAAAAATTATGCCCTTGGGTTTGCCAGTGAGTAGATTCCTATCTTCCAAGTCTTTCATTACTAATCTCAGACTGAAGAGAAAAGAAAATCTCTAAAAGAAGAAAAAGGAATTTTCCCATTTTACAGAGAGGTGCAGTGAGGCTCAATCTTAGAGGGGAAAAAAAAAAAAAAAATCTTAGAAAAGGATCATTACACGTAGGCTAGCTTTAGAGCCTACAGAGTCTCACCTCAGACCCTCCAGAGAGCTGAAAGGACCAGAAGTGGGGTCCAGAAGAAATTTAGGGAAAGCTGCCAGCAACAGAGTGAGAGGAGAGGACCAGGTGAGAGGCACAAGACATCACTGCCTGGACACAGGACCAATTCCTTGCTGGAGAGCAGGGGTACTGAATTATAAAGCCTCTCCTTGCTGCCAGTTCCTGTGCAGCTCTCCTCCTAACCTTTCTTCTCAGGAAAGCTGGCAAGGGGCTTGAGAATTTACGTTCATCTGTTATCATGGACAGCATCCCTGCCAGCATCCAACTGGCTCTGTTGCCTGTTTGCTTCCACTGCAGCTGTCACAAAACAACTCTGGTTCTTGCCAGGAAAAAAAAATAATTAAAGAGGAAAAAAACCTACCACAAAACCAAAACAGGCAGAGGGAGTGTCTCTCCCACTGCTCAGTTTTCAAATTGCAGAGCTAAGGCCATGATTTCAACAGAACATTAAAAATTCTCTTAGAAAGGCACCTGCCAATTACAAGTAATTTAGAAGGTGTGAAAGGGAGAGGAAGAAGTCCCACGTGTGAGAAACTGACCTGAACAGGAAAACTACTTTTATAAATACCTGTTTGGATGCAATGTTAACAGTTTCACTGGTTTTAGCAAGAGGGGAAGCTCAAGAGTAGAAACCCTAGATTTAATTTGTCCACTAGAAGCCTCCTGACAACACCAAAAAAGGGGTGAGTGAGATCAAGAAGATGTTTACAGCCAAGCATCTAGGAATTGCCCTACAAGTAGAAGCAATTCATTATAACAGTAAATTAAAATATAAAGATTTTATTCTTACCTGTCCAACCATGCAAGCAAGGCTTTAGCAGCACCAATAAGCTCTACCACAGAAGTAAGGAATTCATTGGGGGGCTTGCGAGAGGTATTTCCATCATAATTTGAACTTTTCCTACGGCTGCTGATGTAGTTTTGCAGGTTGTTGGATGACGCTCGCAGCTTGAGAACCAGGTTCTTCATATTGTCTGTTTCAAGGCCATAGTTCTGCAAGGAATATTATTATGCTTGATAAATCTCTCTATTGAGTCCTCCTAATTATTATACCACAAGTTACAAACTCATATGGGATGAAAGGTCTGAGGATTTGCCCTATTTTTTTCTGGGTGTCTGTGGGTTTTTTTTTTTCCCCCCCCAAAAGATGCCTTCTAAGATTTGTTCTACTCAACACTATAGGCTACTTTTGTGGGTGCCAAACCCCCTCAGTTTCTGACATTAATGAGATTTGAGGACACTTTTCAATCAGAGTGAAATCCCAATGTCCTATCAGATGTCATTCAAAATGTAGTTGGAATAACAGGATTGCATTGTTTTTCTTTTTGTTAAAGGAAAGAAAATGCTGTTTTTTCTTAAAATGTTTTCTATACTGTGGTACATAAACACTGAAGTAACATTTCATTCACAACTAAAGATAAGTTTAATCTGGCAAGAGATAAAAACAACAGGAAACAAATGTAATTTCACAGTCAAAAGCTGGAATAAATACTTGGATCAGAAGCTTCAGAAACTGTGCTCCTTGATTAGAGCAGTGCAATTATTTGCAAGTTTGAGGACCACATTAACACTACACGTAGTAATTAAAACCATCCTTAAATGTCACATTTTTCATTCAACAGCATCTTTATAAAAATTTTTGAAGCGTAAAAAAAAACCCAACTGTGTCCTGCGTGTAACTTCAACTTTATAAATTCAAATATAACCAAACCACGCTCCACAAGATTAAAACTCAATTGTTTTAAGCAACACATTGATCATTTCATTCCAAACACATCAGAAACGCTATACTACATCTGTCCTGAAGGCAACTCAAGTTTTGTAATCAAGATTTTCTTCTTTTTGCTGTCAGTGTGCAAATATGTGAATTACATAGTAATATGTTGCTGAGTATCTTTGCTTTTGAGTTATCCCACCTTGAAAATCTCTGGGCATCTTCTTAAAGTCCTGGGCAACGCTTACCTCTTTTAGAGTGAAAATTCCTACTTTTCTTTAAAAAAAAAAAAAAAAAAACCACACACCAAACACACAGACAAACAGAAACAAACAACCTACCCACCCAAAAATACAAAAAATACCCTGCCTTTCTCTATTCTTTTGCTACCAACCTCCAAGCTCCACAGTTTAGTCAGCTATACCACCTACTTTCTCCTTTCTGCCTCAAAAAACTAAAGCAAATCTTAATTCCATTGAATTCCAAGTTTCCAGGGGTTCCCAATGCCTCCACTCAGTATCACAGCATCACCCAGGCTGAAGGGGAGCTCAGGAGCTCTCAGTCCAACCTCCTGCTTACAGCAGGCTCAGCTGTGAGCTCAGACCACCTTGTTCAGGGCTTTATCCAGTCAGATCTTGAACACCTCCAAGGACAGAGACTGCATAACCTTTCCAGGCAACCTGATCCACCATCTGATTGTCCTCAGGGTGAGAAAGCATTTCCTTAAATTCAGCCTGAACCTCTTGTCTCAACTTCTGCCTGAAGTCTCTCATCCTCCCACCACACATCACCACAAACAGCCCAGCTCTGTCATCCTGCCAACCCTGTTCCCCCAGCACCGGGTACAGGGGATCTGCTTTTAGGCCTCCCTGAAGCCATCTCTTCCCCAGGCTGAAAAAGTCCCAGTCCCTCAGCCTCTCCTCATAGGTGAGTACTCCAGCCCTGACAAACCTGGTAGCCCTCCACTGAGCTTGCTCTGGTTTGTCTATTTCTTTCCTGTACTTGGGGGTGGGAGGTATAGGTAGACTAATAAGTGTAAAGGGCAATAATCACTTCCCTCCCTCTCCTGGCCATACTCCCATTAATGCAGCACAGGATGCTGGTGACTTCTTTGCTGCCAGGGCACACTGTCAGTTTGTGGCTCCACTCCCTCCACAGTCTAGCATCCATAAAACAGGCTGGAATATCTTAGATTAAGTCATCAGCAAAAGATGAAACAGAACCTTTGCCCCAAAGAAACCCAGTGTGATGAGAGGTTTCAGCTACTCAGCTACCTTTAAAATGCTTACCATCTCCTATGGATAAGATCCCAGTGGGTCTAAGTTACACAAGTGCCTTCCTTCTCCCCCTGAGGACTCCTGGCAAGGAAGTACCCTTAAAGTGCAGCCAGGAGCAGGGGTTGAGAGGATATATCCAATTAAAAAAACGCCACTGTTGCAACAGCAAAGGATATCCTTAAATTTTCCAGGATCACAGAGAGGGAATGACTTTGATTTCTAAACAATGTTAAAGTACTTGCATACTGTCATGAGTGAACTTATTGCCTTTGAACAACAACAAAAAACCAAAACAAAAACACACAACAAAACCAAGATGCATTTCTTGCAGTTAGTTTCTCCTCCTCACAGGACACTGCATATTAGTCTACTTTTGGAGGAATACTTTTTCACCAACGGGTCTGGATGTGGGGCAAGTTCCTGTGACCATGAGAATTCTGTGCCAGAAATCTCCCCCTTTAACAGGGGAATTAGAGGACACTGCCCCTCCTCCTTCCATAAAGGGACAGAAAATACTTAAAATTTTTTTCTGTACAGTTGTATAACTCCTTGAACTTGAAAGAGTTCATATATATAAGTATCCCCAGGTCTTTCTGTCATTCAGGTGCAGAAATTGTGCCCATCACCTGTGGGTATCTGAGATTAGAGATGGCCCCAGCATTTAAGAGGGCACATGTTGATATACCACATCAGATTTTGGCTTTGGCCCAGAAATATTCACATACCCCTTATCACGCCTCTTTCACCTTATTTATACAGCAGGCCAGTCCAGTGTGACTTTTCCAGTTCAGCTAGTTTTTAAATAATTCTGTCAAGTAGTTCTCAGTTTTGAGATGGACTTCAACAACACAGTTATTGCCTCTGGAGATATAGAGGCTCCAGCTTATGACTGCAACTGGTCTCCACAACAGCATGTCAAGAGCACATCACAGCCAAGGTCTCCAGTCACACTAAGCTTTCCTACAGCTTCCCCCAGAAGCTCTAAGGAGTGCACCTGAGATATAGTTTGTGCTCTAGGAAAAGTCCTGCCTAACCACTATGCCTATCCCGCACAACAGGGAGCATGCAGCTCTTCAGTACAGGTGACTGAATTCTCCAACTATGGATCAACTCTGAAGGATGAATTTCCCCAGAACAAAGGATCATCACAGCCTAAACCACCTCTGCTCCAGGGTCAAGCCAGTCTCCTCACCTGTTTGCTTCAATACACAGAAAACATTATGACCCTTCATCAGATATAGTGTCAGCTTGGATGGAAACATTGTTATCTTGACCACCTCATACATAAACATCTATCTCTCCTATTTTTCTGCTGCTTCACTTGCAGCATCCAGTCTGTTGGGAGGGCTGGTTTGGGAAACTAAACCATTCAAAAAATCTATTCCCTTTTTTACTGTGATGTGCTCTCAGCTGTTTTAGCTACCTAAAGTAGCTCACCTCAGGGCCAGGTGAGTGCAAGCACAAAAGATCACTAATTGGAGGACAGGAGGGGGTGGAGGCAGCAACTGACATAGATTAATTTAACTTATCATGGAGCTGTAGTACCAATTCAGGACAGAGAGGAACGTTGATAGCATGGCAGCACACCAAACAGCCTTCACAGTGACACACAGCTGAAGTGCAAAGCTTTGCAGGCTTTTTTGAAATATTTCTACAGGACTAAGGCCACAATATTTAACAGATTATTTAAGCAACCAACATTGCTCGTGAACCAAAAAAAACGTTACACTTTCCTGTCACTCCCGATTTAAAACAAAGTCGCTTTCATCAAAACACAGGCTGAAGCCAGCGGTCAAGAGCACCCTATGTCAAACATTCCCAGGTTGTTACTCATTAACCTGGGGAGCCACACACAGGGCTGGGGCAAGAGACAAGCATGCACACGTGCAGGAGAGCACATGTGCACAAGAGCATGCTCTTTCCAAACTCCATTACATTTCATGAGAAAAAGTACACTGACCAAATAATTGCTCAAGGTCAGGCAGCCAACACCAAATAATAAAAAAACCTCAGCACAACAGTGGTGTCAGAGCTGATTTGGGCTGATCCAGAGCTCTGCTACTGCCCAGGGGCCGCATAGCCTTCCCCTTCACAGCCATGTTCACATGCCACAGTGTGATGAGCCAGATCTGCTGGCTGATCCAACTGAAAACCAGTTCTGGGGGGGGAAAGAAACAATCAAAACAGACTGAATGCCTGCTCAAAAGCTGATCCAACTCACTGCATGCCTACATAAACACTAGAGTTAACACAAGGTACCAT